CTAGCATAATAATCTTTCTTTTAAATTATACTTGATTTCATTTTAATGATGTGGAATTCAAGGCCCATAGAGTTTTTGGTTTCCCTACTCTGGCCCATTCTGTTTACGTTTACATTCATGACTGTCTCTTGTGGTTCCCACCATCAGACCAGAGCACTGCCAGTCCTGGGCTTCACCCCAACCAATGTCCTACTTGTCCGTGCTTTGTAAGCAGTGAAGGTAGCTAGATGGGTTTGTTTAACTGCAAATCATTACGCGCAATATGTTTTCACTGGTCTCTAATCATTAAGGGATCCAGGTCCAGATCCCCATTTCCATATTTGATGGAAAATATTTTTCCACGTTAGAAAAGTCTTCAACATATCATATAATCAAAATAGATGTAGCTTTTTGCAGATGTGTCTTGCTTTAAGCAAACCCCATATTTGACAGTCGGGATTTATCTAGACAAGCCAGTAAGGAGTGATTAATTGTTCACTTTATAAAGGGGTTATTTGCCTCATGGAAGATTTAATCAGAAGATATATTGGAGACTCTCCTATTGTATTGAAAGTATCATTAGATTTCCACAGATACTCTCTATACACAACCATCCATGACCATCCCTATAGTATACAGCAGAATTGTGCTAAGGATACTTTCTATCACTGCCTCTCTCCTGAGAAATCTTGCCTTTGCTGGCCTTCAAATGGCATCTGCTTTACTGTTACGTGATGTGACATGGTAGAGGAGAGGGGATACACTGTAAAAAGCCAGGGTTCCAAGGCAAAGCAAGGCTCTAATACAATGGACAGAGCAGTGGACTGGACATCAAAGGCTTGGAGCTCTTGCCAGCCATGGGATCTGAGGCAAACTACAGCCTGCTTAATACCCAGATTTTTACTTTATAAAAGAAAGATAATAGTGCCTGGCTGCACCTAGTTTTAAGGGTTCATGTAACAATCAAATGTAAAAATTCCACTTAAATATAAAATGCCATGCTAATATATCCTTTTTTCTAAGCAGGGCTAATGCCACAACACTAAGAGAATACTATATCAATCTACCTTTTCCTTTGTTAGCGACTATTTGTCATAGAATTAGTTAAATGTTCTGAAAATACCTCCTAATCATTATCCTTTTCATTTTATTTTATTCTACCTCTTTTATTCTTCCCTTAGTTCAAAGTCTCCCAACACTTTCTCTGCAAAGATCAAACCCTCTGCCCAGCAATTCTGAACAATCTCCTATTTGTCTCTTCCTGACAAGCTGAGTAAGAGGAGAAAACAAAGCCTGTGGTATTCTTACCATTAAAGAAGTATAGTTATTTGGAAGAGCCAGCTCGAATCTCTGTATTCCAAACCTGCCTACACCTGTGTCTACAGACATCCGTCCTCTCTGCTACACTCCGGCCATTTGCTTATCTTTGTTCCTTTGAACCACTTCCATCTATATTGCTCTATTTTAGTTTCTCTTGGTGGCTTATGGTAACCCCTCATTGTCTGAATGTCCAACTTTTTTTCCTTCACTAGAACTTACGTAAGATTTGGAGTTCCAACAAATTCACAAGAAATATGATGCAATGTTCCTTAGCCACGTCCAGTGCGGTTTTTTCCTTCTTTTCAAGTCATTTATTGAATTGATTTTTCTTTTCAGACTAAGGACCTGTTGAAACGTTTGGCAGGTCTCAACTGTATGATGTTGCAGTACAGCTACAGTCAAAGCTGTATAGTGGAGCCTCCCCTAGATGTTCCACAGTTGCCTCCACTGTCTTTCCCCTAAAACATCTTCCTCGTCTTATATTTATTAGCCTCTTTAGTAGCATCTCCATTCACCCAGCCAAGCAAACCCCGAACCTTATTTCCCATTTCCAGCTGGTCATTAAATCCTGCCCTCTCTATTTTCTGAATATCTTTGAAACCTGTGTTAACTTAGACCCTTATCCTCTTTCATTTGTGCTACAGAAGCAGCATCTTCCTTTTCTTCTGGCTTTCTTCTAGCTTTTCCATCTCCAGTGCCTTCAGAGCATTAATGCTGGAGCTATTTTCTAAAGAAAATACAATCATAGAACTCTAATTAAAAATTCAGCTTTAAAAAAAATACACTCTAAAAAAGATAATCCACGCTGTGAAAAAAGTTTAAATAACACGGCCCATCCTCACAAGACCTCTCTACTGCAGCCACACTGAACCCCTGTCTCTCCCCCGGAGTGGGAGTGCTCATACCCTCAGACTCCTCGTCCTTGTCAATGTAGTTCTCCTGCTTAGAATGCCGTCTTCCCTCCTCTTGGCCTTCAAGCTTCAAAATCCAGTTCAGAATTCACCTGCTCTCTGAAGTCTTTCCCAGCTCTAACCATAGCTCTTTGCTAGTGGAATGAATGGCCCCACTTTCACATCACCCCATGATTCAATTATTTGTGGAATGGTCACTTTCCTACTTAAACTCAGTATCTCACACATCTTAATCTGGCTCATAGGATACACTCAATAAATGGTCACTGAAATTAACATGCACAAACAAAATAATAGCTAAAGAAAAATTCCAGAGACCTAAAAGCATACCAGTCCAACTTCTTCGCTGCATTAAAGAAACAGGGCCCAGGAATAAAGAGAAAGGGCTAATAATCTGACTGAGGCAAACACATGAATGGGTTGTTTGTTTTTAAAAGCTAAGTGGTTTAGGGAGGGTAGGGGGAGAAGAAAGTACATTTTAAAGCTCTAGCTCCAGGGCAAGTAATAAAAATTGTTGCTTTAATGCTTTTTTCATAACATTGTGAGCAATGGGAAGGCCTATTCTATCATACCAGCCTTCGGGGTGGAAAGTTTCGGCCTCCTGAGCTAAATCAAACTGGCATCTGCTCTCAGTTTTTCAAGTGGCCACTGATAGGTCTCAGAAGCTAAACGTGACTGACAAAGAAGAAAAAAAATAATTTTCCATTTATTTTATGGGCCTCTCTCTTCCTCTTTTGCTCTTGTCAATTAATTATAAAGGTACTGGAAACCCATCCTGCATTCTTGTCCCTGGATTACAGGGATATAGTCTCAGTTGTACTTTTTCTGCAATAGGAGTTGTCATTCTTATAAAGGAGGTTGGGAGGCAATGCCTTAACAAGGACCCAAAGCTAGCCTAAGAAATAATAATGCTCTGTACTCAAAGTTCAAAGCTCTTAAGCTTATGATAGCTCTTGATGTCACCCATTTTACACTCCCTAAATTAGGTTAAAGTCTGAATATGTTTAAAATTAGGATGTATGTGCATTTAGGGAAAGTATCAGAGTCTACCAGAGTCCCAATGGAATTCAATAATTTTCAAAATGAAATAACCAATTCTCTACAATCCAGTCTTAATCATTCCACCCCTAAGCCCCCACCCTAAATTCATCTACTCACAATGCCCCAGAGTTCATATATACATATCCTATACATATCCTAGAGACCCCATCCTCTAACATCACACAGACTCTCCTAGCAGGGATTGCCTACATTTCCGGGAAAAAACCCTGCCTCTGCCTATATTTTGAGTACTTGACTTTCCCATTTCCAAGCAGTTTCTATTTCGGAAGGCTGAATGGGGATTTCAACAGTACCTAGCTCTTAGGTTTATAGTAGGATTAAATGGGGCAATATAAGTAAAAAGATTAAATACAACAGCACTTGCTACACGGTCAGTGCCCCATAAATATCAACTTTTGTTACATGCCATGCCTGAACAACTCATGACCCCATAACTGGCTCTTTGGGAAAAGAGTTCCAGAAAGTTGGTCTTTTTCACCAAGTACCACTTTTGGCTCCACGTCTCCCAACAGACTTGAAAGAACTGAAGTAGGTAACATTAATTTTCTTTTACTTAACACATTTGGGACTTTGAGTTTGTTAAATGTAGCATGCAAAAAATATTTTAATATGTTTGTAAAATGACTTTTTAAGTGCCATTAAAAAATCTCCAAGGCCCTTCCAGCTCCAAAATGTTGTGATCTATAATAACTAATTTCAAATGCATGCAAATTAATACTGATACAATTCCCCAGATGCACTGGAGATATATGACATTGTCAGGCTGGGTTGCACTGGAAACAAGTTAGACCCAGGCCCAGGAGCCTCTGGCAATGCAGAGTAAAATTTTGCCTCTCTTTCTCGCCTCCACCCCGGAGTCTATTATTCTCATCTTGAGCTCCCAGGCCCTTTGGTAACAGATGTGGAAGAGAATAAGGAATGAGCTGCAATTTGCAGAGAAGAAAGTAGGGCCAAGATTCTACAGAATCCCAAACAGATTGGCTGAAGTGAGCAGAGTTCCATGAAGTCACCTACAATCTCACCTTTAACACCTAACGAAAGAGAATCCTAGAAGTCTAACTCAGAAAGGGGTCCCACCAACCGTCCTTCATCTTGGAGGTTAAAAAACTGAGACCCAAAAAAGATCAAATGACAAGTCCAAAGTCATCTGGCTTTTCTGGAACTCAAGTCTGGAAACCTATAGAGCTGATGCAGTCACCAATTGTGTTAAAGCAGTCAACCACTTGTAGCTTGTAAAGCATCTGCACAGATGTCTCTCATTTTCCCTCTCTGGGCTACATTCAGTCTCCTTTAGTCACTCACAAATCCGCTAGTACTTGTCTCAGGAAAACTAACAAGATTCTTCACAAACATGAATTCAAGAGAAATGTCTGATTTGACAAGTTACTAAAAGCAGAGTCACGTGTTTCTACCTTTAGATTCACCCTGATCTTTCAGAAATACAGTGAATAATATTATAGTGACAATGATTCTTCAAAAGTCCACACCAGATAGCAAAACGCAAGCAAGAAAACGCCTGAGCAACACTCACACAGCTTTTTGGAAAACGATCCGCTAGAAGATGCGCTGTGAGTCTGTCTCCACTGCCTCCACTTAGTATTTACATCCACTCGTGCATTCCTTCACCGGGCTCTACTTCACAGGCAGGCACGCATGCACTTACTCAGGTGTTAACGCACCAGTTCTAGTTCAAAGGCCCTGGCTCATTCCTTCAATTACTTAAGGAGTACCGCCGAGCCGCCCGCCGGTAATAAGCCACATAGGCCCTGCCCTCCGGGAACCTGGAGTCTGAGTGGAGCCTAGACGTGCACACCAAAAGCGAAAGCACAAGGTAAAAGGCGAAAAACTCCTCAAAGGAGCTGGGCTAAAGCGCCCTGGAGGCCCAGGGGAACCGGGAGTGCAGTCCAGACGAGGGGGTGGGGAGGGCAGCCCCGCGGCCTGGGCCGGCCGGAGGGGCTGGAGGGGCCGCGCTCGCCACAGCTCCGCAGAATCCTCCTCCTCCCTGACGCCGGCTCCCGGCTTCCCGTTTCTGGGCCCGGACTTCCCTCGTCACGGAAGCCGCACGGCCTGCCCGTCTCCCGTGGCCTCCCAGCCCCGTCCGTCAGTCGCTCCCACGAATGAGCGACTTAGAAAGCCATCCCCGGGGCCCGCACCCCCTCAGCCCGCCCGCGGGAAGCGCCGGGGCCTCGTCCCGGCCCCTCCGCGGGCACAGCCGGCCTGCGGCGAACGCACCTGGCGGGCCGCTCGGGGGCGGCGGCGG